TAAAAATTAGCTGAGTGAGGTGGTGTGCCCCTGAGGTTCCAGCTATTGGAAGGCTGAGGCAGAGGGTTATTTGAGCTGGAGGTGGTTGAGGCTGCAGTGAGTATAGTAACACCATTGCATTCCAGCCTGGGTGACAGAGCGAGGCCCTGTCAAAATAAATGAATAAATAATAATAATAAATAATCAATAAAATAAATACTAAAAACATCATTTCTCAAGTCTCAACAGAGACATGTTGTGAAGATTAAAAGATCCACAATGTGAGCTGGAAAGGGTTCAATAAATAGACCGAGTGGAATTTCTAAAGTCGCTCCTACCAGCCTAAGTGCCCATCAACCAACAAGTGGATAAAGAAAATGTGGTATATATACAATGTGGACTACTAACTCAGCCATAAAAAGGAAAGAAATTATGTCTTTTGCAGCAACTTGAAGGGAGCTGGAGGCCATTATTCTGAGAAACTCAGGAATGGAAAAACAAATACCATATGTTCTCATTTACAAGTGGGAACTAAGCTATGAGAATGCAAAGGCATCGGAATAATGTGATGGACTTTGGGGACTTAGCGGAAAGGGGTGGGAGAAGGGTGAGGGATTGAAGACTACACATTGGGTACAGTGTACACAGCTTGGGTGATGGGTGCACCAAAATCTCAGAAACGACCACCAAAGAACTTATCCATATAACCAAAAACTATTGAAATAACAATAAAATAAAATAAAATTAAATTAAAAGTCGCTGCTAAAGCACGAGGATGAGGAACCGGGGAAGCTCGCTGCGCCGCCAGGGGGCGCCATCACAAACCACGTTGGGTGGGTGGCAGCCAGGCTCAAGCTTTGTTTCCCAGCCAAAGTTTTGCAAACCGGCCTGAGTCTGAGCTGCTATTAGCGGCTAAAGGAAATAATAGCTCCTTTATCCCCAAAATAATTCTCAAAATAAAACCCAATCTTATTATATACATTTTTTTTTCTTGAAACGGAGTCTCACTCTGTTGTCCAGGCTGGAGTGCAGAGGTGCCATCTCTGTTCACTGCAACCTCTGCCTCCCACTTTCAAGTGATTCTCCCTCCTCAGCCTCCCAAGTAGCTGGGATTACAGGTGCGCACCCACCGCACCAGCTAATTTTTGTATTTTTAGTAGAGGCGAGGTTTCACCATGTTGGCCAGGCTGCTCTCCAACACCTGACCTCAAGTGATGTGCCTGCCTTGACCTCCCAAAGTGCTGGGATTACAGGTGTGAACCACCATGCCAGGCCTAATCTTATTTTATATCCTAAAATAACCACGTACATGCTCAGTATGGATTTCACAGCAGAGAGGAAAAAATATGAGAATATATGAGGACATTAGGCAATAAATTACTTAGATTACTCATTCCTTATAACCTTACTTATTAATTATAAAAGTACTTATAATAATAGCTGACGTGTTAAGAACTCCTACGTCACAAGCATTGTTCTAAGCACTATACACTCATTTTGGCCTTAAAGAAATCTAAAGCATTTTTAAAAATTTTTGACTTCCCATTTATCACGTTTATTTCTAACAAAAATCTTTAAAAATAGAGTTCCAGTTTATCCTTTATCCAGCTTTTTTTTTTTTTTCAAACAACATCTTACATAACCAACATAATTGTTCAAATCAGGGAACTAGCCTTGGTGCAATAATATTAACTAATCTGCAAATATTCAAATTTTGCTAATCATCCCACTCATGTCCTTTTTCTGGTCCCAACTCCAATCCAAGATCTGACACTGAATAACATTGTCACATCTCCTAGGCCTCCTCTAACCTGGGGGAGGTTCCCACTCTTTCCCTCTCTCAGGACGTTGACACTTTTGAGGAGGTCTGGTCCGTTGTTTCGTAGAATGCCCCTCAATTTGTGTTTGTCTCATGTTCCCTTGGGATGTTTCAGGTTGTATATTTTGGGCAAGATTAGCACAGAAGTGATGTGTCTTTCTCAGGACATCCCAGCTGGAGGCGCAGGATGTCCATATCTCTCATTACTGATGAGGTTCACTTTAAGCCCTTGGTTCAGGTGGTGTCTGCCAGGTTTCTCTACTATAAATTTACCATTCATCTCATTGTAATTAATAAGTGTCTTGTGGACAGATACTTTGGGAATAAGCAAGTAGCCTGTTTCTTCTCACCATACTTCCTTCCACCCCTCCTTGGCACTCAATACTTACAGCATCATTTTACTATTACCCATTAATTTTTAGAATCTATGGATGTTTCTTGATTCTTGCCTATAAACAATTATTACTGAGGTGTTAGTCAGATAGTGATTTTTTATTTCCATAATTCCTTCTACATTTATTAATTGGAATTCTGCTATAAGAAAGAGCTATTTCTTCTTTCTTATCTATTTCTTTGTTCAATTATTTATATCAGCATGGACTCATGGATAATTATGGGTTGGAATCCATTGCTATCATTATTTATTATGTTGCTCATGTCCCAAAATTGGTAATTCTAAACTCCCTGTTGACATCTGTAATCTTTTGAAACATTCCCATAATTTTTCCAGTGGTTCCTTACTTTCTGGCCTCACAAAAAGCTCCAGGCTTCTCTTGTGCTTTCCTGCCCCAGCCCTGGATCAGCTAATTTCTCCAGGGAACCCTTTCATGGGAGAATGATGTTTGTAAACCATGGGCACCGACACGGCCATTGCCAGTGGGTGCCGGTGCTTCTAGGCCCTCTAGTGGTCAGAGCAGGGAAATAACACACACTCACACTAGTGTACTGTTATCCACATTTCACAAATTAGGTAAACGAGGAACAAGAAAAGTTAGGCAACTTGATCAAAATCACAGAACACATAGGTAGTGGAACTAGGAAATGAAAACAATGACAGATGCACCACAAGTCCTAACAAGTGGAAGTAACTTTCTTTCTTTCTTTCTTTTTTTGAGACAGTCTTGCTCCGTCATCCAGGCTTGAGTGCTGCGGTGCCATCATAGCTCACTGCAACCTCCACCTCCCGGCTGAAGCAATCCTTATTCCTAACAGCTCTGCAAAGTGGATTTTACCATCATCATTTTTTAAATTGTGGAATCAAGTATCAAAGAAGTCAAGTGACTCGTGCAAGATGGCACAGTTAAGTGACAGAACCAAGCGAGTCCCAGGTCTCTCTGGATATAAAGTCCAAGGTTATTCCACTGTATCAGTGTTTCCCAAAGCTGACTTTAGGTAGAACATAAATAAGGTTTTAAGGAACTTTAATAGTTATATGTTTATTTTAATGCATGTTAGAAACAATTTTAAGCAAATCCACAAAACCTCTAATTTCATGGACAATATTGCAAAGGACAAGGATGTTTTGTTTCAAACTCCTGGCTTCAAGTGATCCCCCCACTTTAGCCTTTCAAATACCTGGAATTACAGTGTAAGCCATTGCACGCTGCTGGGACAGGATGTTTTGTAAAGTAAATTTATTTAGAAAAATGTATGAAGTCAATAATAATAAAGGTGGTACAAATTGTAGAAAACATTATAGAGATGGTCTATAAGTATCTAAGGCTTGGGAGACATAATACTGTAGTACCAGGCTTCATCTTCAGTTACATCTATAAAATTAAAGTCTCATAGTGCTGCAGAAAGGAAAACTAAGAATCTTAGACATGGATGTTAGCCCCGTGTGTCCATTTCTAGGAACCCTCTCCCTGGACATCTCTGTGACCTCCTTGTTGGGAGTCAATCCAACCTTCCCCGCCATTACAGAACACTAGGAAGACTCTGAATGCACAGAGGGGCTTCTGTGTCATAGAGAAAAAAACTGGGTTTGGGGACCCTAGGGACTCTCTGTGTGGTGCGTAAGAGATCCACACCCAGGAGTAGAGGTCAGCGCAGAGGAACGCAGCTCATCCTGTTATGGGACAGGGATCCAAATAAGAGTTGCTTCTCAAAGCATGTTCTGGGGGAGCCAAAATGTAGACACTGCACTCGTGGGAGGAATCGAGGTCTTGCAGATGGAGGATGCCCTGGGCACACAGCCTGGGACAGTTCTGATGCCCAGAGCAGGAGGTGCTCCAGGTTTCTCAGTGAGCTCATGGTGTGCAAGGAAGTCTGGTGGACAAAGATTGACGCCGTAGGAAGTGTGAGGTGTCCTGGTGTCTCTGGATGACTGAGTGGCCCTAAGAAGACAGGACTTGTTGATGTCTTCACAATTAGAGCTGGTGCCATCGTGGCATGCAGGAGGGGATGATCTGATTCTCTGTCCTCCTGGACTTGGGACGTCAATTCTGTGGGCTGTACATGGCCTCAGTGGGACCCACCCACAGGGGCTGGAATCTTGCTTTAAAGTGGTCCAAGGGCAGGGCTGGGGCAGACCCTTAATCAACTCTATTTGCATTAACGTAGAGAAATGACACAAGAACAGGGCTTTTACCCTAGTAGCATTGGGAGGGAATTCAGGGTCTTTCTAACAGTGAGGGGTGAAACCCAATTAATTCCCTGACATCATTCACTGACATCCCCTCCAGCCTCTAACATATGTCCTTCTCACAAACACACTGAAACTGGCACAAACTCTGGATATTCGATCCCAGGTGGATCTCTCACCAGGGCAGAATGACCACAACAAAGTCAGGGAGTGACTCCCCACCCTCAAGGTCCCCAGTATTTGGGACATCTGCCTACAGTCCCTGCAGACATTTCACCAGGGGATCCAGGGGAACTTCTCCTGCAGGAGGGGACAGGATAACCCAGGATTTGCCTTTGTTTCCATCTCAGAGGGACTGAGGGTCATGGGGCCTCCCCTGTTCTAATAGAGGAACCAGGTATCCCTTTGTGGAGTCTCCAGGTGGGAACTGCCCCAGCTCCTGGGCCCTGTGGGGAGGCCTGGGGCAGAAGACAGACGGGGACACAGACGACCTGGAACCCCCAGTGTTGTGATGGAGGAACACAGGGCACTCTGGGGACCACCTCCCAGGCCAGTGTCTTCTCTCTAAAGCCCCCAGAGACACCTTCCTGGGCCCTTCTTTTGAAACCTTGGGGACGGATGGCTGTTTCTGAGGCAGCCCATCTGCCTGCAGGACAGTTCTCCCAAATCAGGACCAGGAGTGCTCTGGACAACTCTCGTCCTCTCCCTGAGCTCATCCTGCACTGCGTGGAGTTGGGCATCCTGGGGACCCGCAGTGAACAGGACCAAGGGTAACCTGACCCTGCAGTCTGGAGGTCAGAGCCCACCTCTGCCCAGGGGCCAGGGCCACTCCTACCACATGAATCCTGGTCAGCATCCCTGGGGAAGTCTCTGACTTTTACCACAGGTCTCTTCTTGCCCTCCAGGGGCAACACTGCTCACAGACAACACACAGGAAATGGGTTCCCCTGGACAGGAAGCTGGCTTTGCTAAGGAGGTGGAGGTGAAGTCTGGTTTCCATCCTTTGCTCCAGCAGGCCCTTCCAGCCCCTCCCGTGTGTCTGCTCTGTCTCTCCCGCTCCTTCCTGGAGCCTCTGAGGATCCTGCTCTGCCGGGATTCTCTGCTCAGTTCTCCACTTTCTCCTGGCACCATGCCTGGGGAAGGCACAGTGACAACAGGACAGTCAGCTTTGCAGAGGACAGAGGCCACCTGGGATGGTCAGGGAGAACATGGACAGGCCCTGAGCCACAGCGCAGCCAACAGACACGGAGAAAGAGGATCTCCCTGAATCCCTCCTCAAGGACAGCAGAACCCAGAGCCACCCATCTCCCTCCACCACAGTCCTCTCTTCCCAGGACATGCAGGACACCTCCCTCCACATCCACGAGCTGGGGATCCTCCTAAGATTCCCAGGCCTGGATCTGTGTCCCTGGGTCAGAGGCAAGGCTGGTGACACTGGAGAGAGAGGACTGTTCCCCCCACAGTTGCCCCCCACTTTCTATCCCACAGAACCACCTCTGTCACTTCCTTGCTGGGTATCATCCCACACTCCCTGAGAATTGGGGAGATTGAGGAGACCTGAGGGCCCAGCTGGGTTTCTGTGTCACAAAGGGAAACAGTTCCCTGAGTTTGGGAGACCCCAGAGTACCTCTGTGTGTGGTGACATTCCCAAAGGGTCAGTGCAGGGGTGACAGGTCACCCTCTCTGGGGACAGCGGACTCCATCAACCCTGCTTCTCAAAGTGTGGTTAGGAAACTATAATGTACACAGAAGAGAAAGGGGAAGGAGGGACAAAAAAAGGCAGAAATGAGAGGGGAAGGGGCAGAGGGGTAACCTGGGCAGAGCCCCGCCTCTGCCCCTGGCCCTGGGAAGTGCTTCTGCCCTGGAGGAGGCTCAGCACAGAAGGAGGAAGGTCAGCAGACCTAACAGTCACAGCAGCTCTGACAAGAGCATTCCTGGAGCCCAAACTCCCCTCCACGGAGGACAAGCAGGCAGCAGAGACCATGGGGTCCCCTCAGCTGCTCCCCATGGAGGGCACAGGCCCTGGCAGGGGCTCCTGATCACAGGTGAGGGGAGGACTCTCTGGGAGTGGGTGGGAGGAGGGAGCACGGAGACTGACTGGAGTCTCTTGGGTAGGAGGGGACAGACGGCTTCTAGCTGGGGTCTCCTGGGGCTCTGAGAGGGCACTGAGGGCTTCTGTTGGAGGCTAGATAAGAGAGAGAACATCATAGAGGGGCAGGGATCACCACAGGAAAATCTCAGTGAACTGAAATTGGTAAAAGGCAGATAAATCTCAAGTGTTCTTGTTTCCTAGTTAATCATCACTGGCCACTACATTTTGAAAAATGAGAATAACAACTATTATCAGATGACACTTCAAATAAAAACACAACCAGGGCATAAAACACTGTTCTTAGCCAACAACCTCAGACACTGGGAAATAAACCTCAGGAGCTGGAGGCCCTGGGAATGCTATGAATTCATCCACAGGAGTCTGCAGCCTGTCCCAGGCACTGGGGTGCAACCAAGATCACACAAGTCCCTGTCCTCACGGAGCTCACACTCTCATGGGGAGGAAGACAGACATGCAAAGAGATCTAGAATGTGAGGTCAGGTGTTGACAAGAGCTCCGGAGGGAGCAGAGCAGGGAAAGGTCAGAAAGGGAAGACCCAGGGTCTCTAGAGGAGGTATCAGGGGAGAGGTCTCCCCAAAACACCCTGATGTGAGCAGGATCTGAGAGTAGCGTGGAGGGAGCCATGCAGACCCCTGGGGAAGAGGATTCCACACCAGAAAATGCCAAGGTCAGAGGTGTTGAAGGAATGGGGGTAGTGCTGCTGACCCGGGGGACAGACACACACACACACACACACACACACACTCTCCAAGGCTGAGGGATGAGGAGACCCGCTGAGGACCCAGGGCCTTATCTTTCCATCCCGCTACCTAGGTCCCGGTATTGACTGATGCTCTCTTCACCTCCTAGCCTCACTTTTAACCTTCTGGGACCTGCCCACCACTGTCCAGTTCACTATCGAAGCCCTGCCGTCCAGTGCTGCAGAGGGAAAGGATGTTCTTCTACGGGCCTGCAATATTTCAGAAACTATTCAAGCCTATTATTGGCACAAGGGGAAAACGGCAGAAGGGAGCCCTCTCATTGCTGGTTATTTGATAGACGTTCAAGTAAATATCCCGGGGACTGCATACAGCGGTCGAGAGAAAATATACTCCAACGGATCCCTGCTGTTCCAAAACGTCACCCTGGAGGACGCAGGATCCTACACCCTACGAACCATAAACGCCAATTATGACTCCGACCAAGCAACTGGCCAGCTCCACGTACACCGTGAGTGATTCCCCCATACCTCTGGGTGCTGGGGGTCAGTTCCGCTTCACACACATGAGATTGTCAGGCCTGGGCTGTGCCTGCATTCCCCTCTGCATTTTGTGTTGAGATTTGAGCATTTAGTGCAGGACACACACATAGGAGGTAAACTTCAACAGATCAGAATTCCTTTCCTGCATCCAGACCCGGCAGACACTCGCTGAATGGGGGCAGAGTGGGGGGGCCTCAGCAGGGGGAGGTCAGTCTCAGCCAAGCACCCCGTGCCCTCCCTATGAACCTGACCCTGAGAAAGACTCTGGAGAACTGGGTCAGGGCCTGGCCTGAAGGGGTCCTGGGATCCTCACAGAGAAGCTCAGCCCCAGGGCTCCTGACTCCAGGTGACCCCGGGAAGCCTGTGCCAGGGCTTGGGCGTGGTCTCCTGGGCAGGGCTGACTGGGAGCAAGGATTTACAAACTGTCTGTGGGCTGTGGTTCCTGCAGCTTCTCACCAGCGCCGGCTCAACTCCCAGAGTCTCATCTGGACAAGGACAGAGCCTACCACTTTACCTGGGACTCAGCCCGGAGAGGACAGGCGGATAGGATTACTAGGGCATCGGCCCTCTGAATGGGGAGCTTAAGAGATGCCCTTGGGCAGTCAGTGGCCCAGGGGTAGGAACAGAGGTGAGAAAATGTTCCCGGCAGCTTCTTGTCCACCAGGGATCATGCCCAGGGGTGCTCTCCCACGGAGGCAAATAATAACAGAGGCTGTTGATGTGAACACCTCCTCTGTGCCAAGCTTCATGTCAGATCCTGTGAATAATTTAAAGTTCATCCACAGACAAAGTGGCAAGCCACAGACCATTTCCCATTTACATATTGTATGGAGGGGAAACTGAGGCACAGAGAGCTACAGTCACCGGCCAGGGTGGGCAGATCGCAGCTGGCAGAGTCACGGGAGGACTGTCTGCAGCTACTGCCACGTCCTCTCCTTCCTCCCTGGTGCCTTATTAGGTGTCCGTGGACCTCAGAGCAGCCACCGGTTCAGATGTTTTCTTCTTAGGTGTCTACAGCTCAAAGGGGGAGATTCTGGTCTGGAGAGTTACGAGTAAATACGGAATTAATCAGTTTTTTCTTGACTAAATCACCCACCTCAACAATCAGTCAGTGCTGGGGAAGTTCAGGCCTCCTTGCTCAGGTCCACATCCCCATCTCTGGACATGAAATCGTGTGTTTCCTGATGTGTTGGTATCATTCCGATGGGAGGATAAAGGGGAAGACTTTGCTTTCTCCCCCTTTCACACCCTGCACCAGCCAGGGCCCAGGGTGAGACACATACTCCGTAGTTCTCTTATGAAGGAGGGAGGGAATGAATGAAGGAATGATCTATAACTTCTTCAGAGACAGAGACCCGGATACAAGATCCTAGGAGGTTCTAGCTGCCACACCTGTTTTCTGTCCCTCTAGGGGCTAAGACCCGTGTCCCATTCCTCTGGCCCCTTTCCCCTAAATCTGTGCCTGGGAGCGGAGTCTCATCTGACTCTGGGGCTGCAGGGCTGTGGGAAGGTTTTCAGGGGAGAGATCCTGCTTGCGGGGAGCCCCACACTTTTGCCTTCCGTCCTGCAGTTCTACCTGGTTCTCACTGTGAATATCACATAATAATCCCTCCATCCTTTCTGGGGAGTAGAAAAAAGTACATATTTAAAAATATGCCAGAGCATCTGTTCTTCTTAGCAAGTCCAGATAGTTATTAGCTGGCAGGAATAAATTGTTATTTTACCAGAGTCTAACCTGCTGGGGGTTTATGGGAGCCTAACTGACTGAGGGGAGGGGAAATATCCAACTCCAGTCCCCTCAAGCCATTATGTCCCACCTAAGGGGAAGAAAAAACCGAGAGGCACTTGTGACATTCACAGCCCAGGGCACAGACTCCATCCAGGACCACAGAACCCCTCCCTCCCCACACTCACCACCGCTTCACTGAACGTCTGCTCACCCAATTTCCTGTTGCCCAGTATATCATGTCCTGGCTTTCAACAAAAACTACGAGACAAACTAGAGCAAAAAGAAAAAATAGCCGGGCGCGGTGGCTCAAGCCTGTAATCCCAGCACTTTGGGAGGCCGAGACGGGTGGATCACGAGGTCAGGAGATCGAGACCATCCTGGCTAACACGGTGAAACCCCGTCTCTACTAAAAATACAAAAAAACTAGCCGGGCGAGGTGGCGGGCGCCTGTAGTCCCAGCTACTTGGGAGGCTGAGGCAGGAGAATGGCGTAAACCCGGGAGGCGGAGCTTGCAGTGAGCTGAGATCCGGCCACTGCACTCCAGCCCGGGCTACAGAGCAAAACTCCGTCTCAAAAAAAAAAAAAAAAAAAAAGAAAAAATAATAATTCAGTTCAAAAGATAGAACAAGCATCAGAACCAGATGCAGAAGTGGCAGGGATGTTGAAATTATCAGACCAAGAATTTAAAACAACTCTAGGGCCAGGAGCGGTGGTGGCTCACGCCTGTAATCCCAGCACTTTGGGAGGCCGAGGTGGGCAGATCACCTGAGGTCAGGAGTTCGAGACCAGCCTGGCCAACATGGCGAAACCCCGTCTCTACTAAAAATTAGGCAGGCATGGTGGTGGGAGCCTGTAATCCTAGACGCTCGGGAGGCTGAGGCAGGAGAATTGCTTGAACCGGGGAGGCAGAGGTTGCAGTGAGCTGAAATCACACCACTGCACTCCAGCCTGGGCAATAGAGCGAGATTCTGTCTCAAAAACAAATAAACGAATGAAAAGGCAACTCTGGCTAATATGCTAAAGGCTGCAATGGAGAGCATAGACAATGCGCAGAACAGAGGGTGATGTGAGCAGAGAGATGGACAGGCTAAGAAAGAATAACAACAACATACATCTATCTATCTATCTATCTATCTATCTATCTATCTATCTATCTGTCTATCTATCTATCACCTATCATCTGTCTAACTACACATATGCTAGAGATCAAACTCACTGTAACACCTGGATCTCAGGGTGGTTGTGAGGATGTTTATTAGGAGATTAGAGAGATTAAAGCAGAGTTACACACAGGGTGTGAGCTCCCTTGATGCTGTCAACTATGGTTCTTATTTTTTGATATTGTTGTTATTAGCGATAAAATGGGGAACAATGCAGTAAAAATTTGGTTGTATCATGTACGAGTTCTGTGACCTTCCTTGACTTACTGAGGCACTGTAAGTCTCAGATGCTAACTCTGCAGCTGGAGGTGACGCCCCCTCCCTCAAGGTGATGCGAGGATGAGATGAGCTGTAGGTAGCTTGGTTCCCACTGGGCCTGGCACATGGAAGGCCCCTGAAAACAGTCAAAGAGCATCATCCCCACTCATCAGCATTGAGTTGATGGCGAGGGCTCGCTGTCTATGACAATCATGGCATGGAAAAGAAGAAACAGAAAGATGACTGGGCATGGTGGCTCATGCCTGTAATCCCAGCACTTTGGGAGGCCGAGGCGGGCAGATCACCTGAGATCAGGAGTTTGAGACCAGCCTGGACAACATGGTGAAATCTCTACTAAAAATACAAAAATTAGCCTGGCGTGGTGGCACACACCTGTAATCCCAGCTGCTTGGGAGGCTGAGGCAGGAGAATCACTTGAACTTGGGAGATGAAGGTTGCAGTGAGCCAAGATTGCGTCACCGCACTCCAGCCTGGGCAACAGAGAATGACTCTATCCAAAAAAAAAAAACAGAGGAAAGAGGCATGAAGTGAGAGGAAGAAGGGATTTAAAGGCACAGGAGCAGGGCGAGGTGCAGGCACCTGTGGGAGAATGTAGGAGTCAGTGCATCCCAATGCTTCAAGCCTGAGACACAGAAAATGGTGCAACCGTGGAGAGCAAGGGAGTCAGCTATGAGGACAGCACGAGACCGCAATCAGGCTCTGGAGCATTTCCTTCCTCCCTGACCGTGCCCCTGCCCTGCAAGGCTGCCTCATGGTTTCCCTTGGAACAGACTTGGGCCTTGTCCCCTTTGCCTTCCGCTTTCTGCAGAAAACAACGTCCCAGGCCTTCCTATGGGGGCTGTCTCTGGCATCGTGACTGGGGTCCTGGTCGGGGTGGCTCTGGCGGCCGCCCTGGTGTGTTTCCTGCTCCTCGCCAGGACTGGAAGGTACCACAGCTTTTCTGCAGCCTCCTCCCACCCCCCAGGCTGATTCCAGTCCGGGAGGAGGGAGACCCCCGCCCTGTATTCAGGGCCAGGCTCTCCTCGTCCTCCCAAGGGATCCTTCCCTCTCATTCCGTGGCTCCTCCCTTGCCAGCTGCTGATCCTAGGCTGCCTCCTCCTTTATGAATGTGGCACCATTAAGTTTGCACCCCTGAGTGTGGTCCTAGTTCCCTAACACAGCAAAGTCACAGCTGCCTGGAGGGAGGAAGGAAGGGAGGGAGATAGGACGGGAGTGCTCAGAACCTGGTACCTCCTGCTGTTCATTGAATTTACCCACCCAGTGAGGGGGCGATTTGCAGGCTTGAGATCCAAGGTGGGGGTCCTGGAAACGGTCACGCAGTGGGGAGTGGCAAAGCCTGGACAGGCTGGGTGGGGTCAGCATCCTGCCGTGATTGATGCTGTAACTGCTGTTACATGAGGTGTGAGACGGGAGAACCTGGACCTAAGGACCTGCTGTCCTTTATGTCTCTTGCCAAGGGGTGGAGAGAGAGAGGAAAAACCCATTGCCCCATTTCAGCATCTCCAGGCCCGAAAGGAGGGTCTGGCCACGGCAGAGACACTGAGTTCTGGGAGAATCTAATGCATGCTCCTTGCCTCCTCGTGCCCCCAGCTCCCCCAGTGTCCTGCACACACGGACGGCCCTGCTTTCCTTCTGGGGCCTTGACCCTTCCTCTCAGGCAAACCCCCCAGGTGGTCTGATTCCCTCCCTGGATCCTCAGTCCCTTTCCTGGGTCCCTGGGTCAATGTTCTCCTCACCCGGAGTCTGCCTGGGGGTCCTTCCTCTCTGGCCAGGACAGATGTGGCTGCTTAAGGTCTTTCCTCAGCTCCCCTCCTCAGCCGCTCCTACCACGAAATTGATGGAGACAGGAGGCCTTCACTCCAGTCCTTGCAAATGGAATCCCTTCCTTGTCCTTTATTCCGCCCCTAAACGTGTGATTTCTCCCTGCACCCTCATCAATAACCCTTGACCTTTCCCAGGGCCAGCATCCGGCGTGACCTCAGGGAGCAGAGGCCCCCAGCCTCCACCCCCGGTGAATGTCCCTTCAGCCCAGGTGTGGAAGCCCCTAGGTCTGCCCTACAGTGTCCACTCCTGCCAGTCACCCTCTGGGGGCCTCTGACCCTTTCCTTGGGGCTGCAAGGAGGATATCAGGAAACATGACACAGGGGACCCCGACTGGCTTAGTCAGACTGATCTGTGGGCTCTGGGTCGTGGGTCACCTCCTCAACCTCAGCTCCTCAGGTTTCCCCTGGGAAGAGGCTCCCTCTCCCTGATTCTCTGGGAGCTGAGGACCCTCACATCCTCCTGCAGGAGGGGTCCAGGCCCTCCTCCCACCCTGCTGCTCACTCCTGTCTCTGTCCCCAGGCCACGGTCCCTCTCACAGATCTGCCTTCTCGGTAAGCCTGTTCCCTCCCCAACCCCTTTCTACTGGGGTCCCAGTAGTGCAGGCTCAGGGCAGGGGGACCATCAACCCCACAGCACAGCACAGCCCCACCTTTCCCCAAACAGTCAGGTCAAAGTGAGCCCCTCTGGCCAAGGTCCCGGCCTCCCTACAGGGCCAGGACCACCCACACCCTGTGCTGACCCCACCCTGGGACCCTCCATCGCCTGAGGAGACCCCTGGAGTCCAGCAGGTGCAGAGTGGACACTGGGAGCATCAGTCAGGGGCCCACATTCACAAGGGTGTGGGGTGGGCCCAGCCAGGACAGGGGTCGGGGTACTGTGTCCACATTGGGAGGCTGAGCTCAGGGGCAGAGCTGGTCACTCCTGAGGGAAAATGCCTGGAAGTAGAGGCAGGGAAGTAAGTCCTGGGCTGGGCTTCCATGGATCTCCCTCGCTGTCCCCTGACATCCCCTCTCTCCCCTGCCCAGTCTCCTCTACCTGGCCCCAGGACAGCCACTCCCCTGTATGAGGTGAGTGTGGGCCATGGATGTTCTGGTCCCACAGGCCCCAAGGGACCCAGGATCTACTCCCAACAGCACCTGGCTGAGCTCTAAGATTCAGGAAAACGCAGTGAAAATGAGAACAGGCGGTGGTGAGCAGAGGAGGGAGGGGTCTGGGAGCAGGAATCCCCTGAGCACAGCCAGGTTCAGCCCCAGAGCAGCCCTGGGTGGGCCCAGAGCCTGGGAGATGCCAGACCCTGTTTTAGAAGGCCACAGGGGTCGAGGCCTCTTCTCTGTTTTTACAGGAATTGCTACACTCTGACGCAAACATTTACTGCTGGATTGACCACAAAGCAGATGTGGTCTCTTAGGTTCCCCCAGGAGCTGCTCCTGTGGGTTGACGGAGGTACCCAAAGACTCCAGCCCTGGGGACAGGGAAGGACATGAAGCCTGAGCCAGAGAACCAGCTCTGAGTCCTGAGAAGACACTGGCCTGGGGACAGGGAGGAAAGGGGCCTCTCCTAAATATCTGGAGACCTGACAGGCTGCCCTGGCCTCTGGATGGGCTGGGAAGAAGGCCTCCCATCACCACAGGAAGCGGGGGCTTTTGCAGGGAAAGTGAATGGGCCTGTGGCCCACTCAGGGTCACCAGGAAAGGATATGAATAAAGAGCACCCTTCCTCTCATTGGCTCTTTTTCTGCTCATGGGAACTTAGCAGAAACTCACTTGAAACTCCATGTCCATTCTCTCCCGGGTCACACAGGGAAAATATCATCTTCACCTTATCTCAACCCCAGTCTCTCTTCCCTGGGAGGCAGAAATAGGGGGTTGGGGGTCAAACTGGAGTGGACCCTACACAGGAAAGGGTGGGATTCACAGGAGCCCTGCCCAGCCAGCCGAGCGCTCGGCTGTCCTCACACTGCCCCAGGGACCAAGGCCATTCACAGCCCCAGCCTGGGTCCCTCTGTGAATGCACAAGGTGTCTCAGGAGTGCGGAAGTTGGGGCCATCTGATGTCCACACAAAGGTGAGCAATGCAGGAGCATCCATGGGTGGTGCAGATCATGGGTGTGACCCCCACACAGCCTCCAGTGTCCTGAGCCCTCCTGCCCTCTTCACCCAGGCCCTGGTGTCCCATCTATCACTGTCCTCTGCAAATGAGCTTGCCTGTCCCCAAATCCAGGATCCTGTGTGCTTAGCCCTGGCCACCAGGTTCTCCTCTGTCCCCGTGGCTTCGGCTCAGGACATCTTTATCCCTGGTGGGACACAGAGAGGGGCTGTCAGAGTAACCAAGGTGAATACAGACCCATAAGTCAGTCCTTGAACACTACCAAGGACTCTAGCCCCTCATTGCCCATCAGTTCCCACTTTACCCTCCGGCATGGATCTGACTGAGCAGCCAACTCTTTACACAGGAGTGTCCAGGTGAGAGGAGCAGGGCTCCCCCATCTAAAGCTCGTGCAGGCTCCCATGGTGATGGGAAAACCTGTCTGCTCCTCTCCCTGGCCCACAGCCCTGCCTCACCTGCAGCTCCTCCACACACCTGGGCCAGCGGTTCTCAGCCCTTCCCTGAGGGCCCCTGGAAGGGTGATGGTCTCATGTAGGTTCACTTGAACCAAGTGCCACCTTCCCACAAACAAGCCAGTCCCTGCACTAAAGCACAGAACCACATGGTTCCCAAGGGTGTTCTGCCACTGCCACGGGTTCTTCATCATATGAGACGTAAGAAAACAATCGGCAATGGGTTGTTTTACATCAGGATTTGCATCGGGATTTAGCTCTAAATGACCCCCGATCCCACCTGCACACAGCATCAGATGAGACAAGATGAGGCCTCTTTAGTTTCCTGTTGATGCTGTGACAAATTCCCACAAGCTTAGTGACATAGAAACCTGAACCAAGGTGCCCACATGACTGTGTTCTTTCTGAAGAGCTCGTTTCCTCTCCTTTTCCACCTCCTAGAGGCCCCCTGCAAACTTGACTGTGTCCTCTTTCTCCATCTTCAAGGCCAGCAGTGCAGCATCTTGAAACCGTTCTGTGCCGTTTCCAACCCCACATCTCCACCTCCTCCTGCCTCCCTCTGTCACTTTAAAGGAAGGAGCCTTGTTATTTTGGATGCACCTGGGATAAACCACAATAACCTCCCCATCTCATGATCCTTCCTTTAATCTGTAAAGTGTCCTTTACCATGTGACATGTCCACAGATCTGGGGATGAGGATGTGCACATGTTTGAAATGCCCTTGTTCTGTCCATCACTCCTCTCAAGGCCATCTTCTCATCATCGTTCACCACAAACCACACACGGGCACCTGGATGGCGTCATCCTGACTGTGGCGTCAGTTCCTGCAGTGACATCCCCAGCACCCTCCAGGTCCTAAGAGAGGAAGACGGAGGGCTCTCCATGCCCCTAGTACCTCTCCACCTTCTTCTTGGTGACATGCTCGGTTGCTAAGAATAAAAGAGAGCAGAGGTGACTGAAAGATCACAACTCACCGGCCCTTCAGTAGTTCCTGGACATCAGCACCACGGACAGTGACCCAGTGAGGCTCTTTTCCGGGGTGGCAGCAGGGAGCTTGCAGATAGGAAGGAACTGCAGGAAAAACTGCCCATTCTATTCTATATGAGAAGGACTGTAAGAAAGAGGAAGCTATTACAGAGATAATGCTATTATTCTCCAATCCACAAATTGCAAAACATTTGCATGTCTGGACATCATGGTTGTTAGCACATCTGCTGCCACTCCCTGCAGGACTGATTGCTGCACCCAGGATGTGGTCTCTGAGGGGCTGAGAGCCTGCTTTGGCCTCAGGGAGAGTCTCTCTGCCCTTGACATTTAGGCCACTGTCTCTGCCTCCAACATGGTGGGAACCTTCCATAATTAATGTCTGATTCTCTGTGCCTGACCTTTGAAGCACACCCATCACTCAACCTGGAGCATCCGCTGAGCTCAGCATCCTGCTCCTCCATCGCCAACTGAGCCCTTGGGGAGATGCTTGAGGGGATCTCCTGGGCTCCTCTGCCAGCTCCTCCAGGCTGAGTCTTGTGCTTGGTGTCAGAGGCCTTTGCCATCTGCTTGTTCTTCCCATAGGCAAATAATCCTCCTCAGGGACAACTGGGGCCTGAAGATCTGTCTGAATATCTATCTATTTATCTATCTATATATCTATCTTTCTATCTATCTATCCAAATATATATATATAGCATGAGAATACTTTATTAGGCAAAACCACATACTATGAAAATGTTTTAAAATGCAATAGGAGGAGATGTGAAGACACAAAGAATAAGTGTGTAGTGACACACGGCTATCAGAACACACTGAAGAATCCACACCGCGGCCGGGGGCAGTGGCTCACGCCTGTAATCCCAGCACTTTGGGAGGCCAAGGAGGGGTGGATCACTTGAGGACAGGAGTTTGAGACCAGCCTGACCAACATGGTGAAACCCCATCTCTACTAAAAATACAAAAAAATTTAGCTGGGCTTGGTGGCACATGCCTGTAGTCCTGGCTACTCGGTGGGCTGAGGCAGAATTGCTTGAACCCAGGAGACACAGGTTGCAGTGAGCCAAGATTGCACCACTGCACTCCGGCCTGGGAGATACAGCGAGGCTCTGTCACACACACACACAATCCACACTGCTTCCCCACTTCACTTTGCCCAGAAAAGGAATGTTCTAGGCCACTTCCTCCTCAGCACACATCCCCAGGGAACTAAAATAGGTTCATAGTCACCCTCATCTTCCTCATTCCCATCACCTCCTACCCACAGAGGTATCTCTGGTCCTACAGACCCAGCCTTGCCTTCAAGAGGCACAAGTCCAACCCTTCCAGTGTCCCTGCTGGTCACACACAGCACTCAGGGTACACTGGAGGGCTTCTGTGCCTTGGACGGGAACAAACCCCACCTAACATCCCACACCTGAGAAGTCATCAGGGTCCTCTCTGCCCTGTCCTCACACTCAATGTCTGTCCTGGGTCACCCTTGTCATCTCTCCTGGAAACAGGCATGGCTTTTGACAGATGAGGTTGAGGCTTTGTCTTTTCCGGAGTCCCTCCCACTCTGAGCTCAGCTCCACGCAACCCTCTCTCACCAGGGGCCTTGTTCTCTGGGTCCCTGGATACCTGGGTCCATGCCATGTACATTTCAAAAAAAAAAAAAAATGACAATGACTCTGGCCCTGACATCCTCATCCAAGGCACGTGTCTGACGAGAATCACCAGGTGAGACACCTGTGGCTCCACACACCTGAGGCTTCACTGCACAGGGGTGTCCTCATCCCTCTCCTCCCACCCCTAGGGACAGTGAGCACCACAGGCTGCCCTGGACCATCAGCTCCCCCTCCCATACACAGCCTCAGATCTATACTGACCTGCTGCATGGAGAGGCTCTGATGAACAGCAGGCATTAGGAAATCTCACCGAACAAGGGGCCACTCGCGGCCCCACCCCTTCTCATATCTATGACTGGGACAGACACACGTAACACACCTGTGCTCACCGCCCAGCCCCCAAGGTCAATCACAGTCTGCTTCTCCCCTAGACCCACTGCTCCCCACATCTTCCCTCCCCAGCTGCAGTCTGGGTGGCCTCCCTGCTGTTCTAATAGGCAGGTTCCAAACTTTGTGTTGTTGCCTGCAATGCCCACCTTTTCCCTTCCCCTTCCCTTTCCCCGTCCCCTTCCCCTTCTCTTTCCCCCTCCCCTTTCCCCCTCCCCTCCGCCCTCCCCTTTCCCTCCCCTCCTCTGTCCTTTCTTCTTCCCTTATCTTCTCTTCCCTTCCCTATAAACCCAAACATACCCACCCACCTACCTTGTGGTCAAAGTCATCAGCCTCCTGCTCCCCTCAGTCTTCTCTGACCCTGAATATGGAGGTGATGACCCCTCCTAGAACACCCACCACTCACTGTCAGCCTTGCGTGTTAATCACAGGTTCTGCAGGGGTTACCTGTGTTCGGGGGTGTCACCTGTGGAACCAGAACTCTTGGAAGGACTGGCAGAGGGAACTGCTTAGGATATCTCAGGGATCCTGGCATCTGGTCTACCACAGAAATATTAACAACAGCACTTAGGGACAGGTGGAGGATGGACAGTTAAGAGGGTAAATATGGTTGATGTATGGGCAGAGAAGAAGAACACAGGAACACATGCAGTACTCAAATAATTATGCCAAGAAAGGTGAGGACATGGAGATGGACATTCCCATATACTTCTGATGGGACTGCAGTTTAGTCCCTACAGCAACATTGGCCTCATCATGTTTAATGTGCACACTCTGTGACCACTATCCTACTTCTGAAGACCTCCCTGTGCTGTGAGCTCTGAGAAGTCCGGGCTTGCCTGTTCTGTCTCTGCTAAAGCCAGAGACCAGCCAATAGCCCAGCACAGGGTACTTCATAAATACATGTTGAATGAATGAGCTCCGGGAACAGTACTCCACATGGTAGAGATATGTGCACGGGGATGTTCACTGCAGAATGTCTTGTCAGTGTGACAAGTGAGGAGAAGCCTCAAATCCAGCAACAGCAGTGTGGGTAAAAGATCATAGTGTAGCCATGCAATGAAACCAATGGAAAAACCACAATTAGAGCAAATCCACATGGATTAATGAAGGAGGTGCCCTCCACACATGCTGTACCTAACAGAATGTTGCCAAGTAAGAATGAAAGTTGATGATATTTGGGCTGTAAAAACTAGAAATCAGCAAAATAAGAATGCATAGAAAGTATTTGAGAATGTTTACAATTTTACGATGCCTTGGCATCCATTTTGGATAGAAGTTGGACTTTCTCCTACCAGAAGCAGGGCTCAGTCACCCTTGAAATGGCTTCCAGTTCTCCACCTCCTTCCAGTTCCTCAATGTGACTGATCAGATATCTGCTTTATACAACTGCCTCCTGGTGACCTTCTCCCTATGGGACTTCCAGATATAGCCTGTGTGACTGCCCCACTGACTCTACACCCTCCATGCTGCAGTGACCACCTCTGATCACCTGGATCTCGTGTCTGCTTGCATTAAACCCACCAATTAAAACTCTGAGAAAAATCTGTTTGGATAATACTCTGTACCCCAATAAAGGCCTTGGCCCTTGGGTTTCCCCTCTGTCCTCCCCATACTGCCCCTGACCTCTGTGTGTGTGTGTGTGTGTGTGTCCTCCAGACAGGACCTATATCCCCCAGGACCTGTAAGTAATAAATCTTTATTTTTATCTTATGTCTCTCACAATCATTGGCAAGAGCTCTGCATCTTACAGATCGCAAATTTAAGCAATTGGTGTAGTTGGCACAATAGAGAGTACCTCTTCTGATTAGTACAAGATATCTCAGAGATACTGAGGCTTTTAACATCCTAGCCGGTGTGGCCGCCTCACTGGTGAGGCCGTTCTCTCCAGCGCAATTCAGTGGCTCCGCTTTGTGCTGCTGTGTTGCTGCTGTAGAGTGCAGCCAGGTTGTTCTCCCCAAATTGTTACTGAGTAGGAGCTTGTAATGTGCTTTCAACGTGATCTACCCCATGCGAAGGGGGACTCTCCATCTAGGGCAAGGGCTAGGTGTGTTCCTGGAATCCTAATAGGGAAGGCATCCACAGAGGGTGAACTCCACCCCTCCTTGGAATGAGGAGTGACATTTCCCATTTATTTTCCCCATGGAGGTGCCATGTATTGACTTTTTCTTTCACTGTCCCAAGGTTGAGCCAAGGTGAGCTATGGGGACCAGGGCAGGGTACCATTACTGTTAGCAAAACAAATGGGTGACAGCATGTGGAGGAGCTGTGGTTCTCCTTTAAGCAAAATCTTTAAAATGGCTTGTATTTCTAGACGGCTACTATATATATATGTCTTTTCCTTTTTCTCCTTTTTCTTCTTTCTGTCTTTGGATTCTGGGGTACAGAATATTATCCAAACAGATTTTTCTCAGAGTTTTAATTGGTGGGTTTAATGTAAGCAAACATGAGATCCAGGTGATTAGAGGTGGTCACTGAAGCACGGAGGGTGTGGAGTCAGTGGGGCAGTCACACAGGCTGTATCTGGAAGTTGTAAGATTAAAACAACAGGAGGCTTTGGGTACCATCACGAACTTGTCAAAAAAAATCCAAAGACAGAAAGAAGAAAAAGATATAGATAGATAGATAGATAGATAGATAGATAGATAGATAGATAGATAGATATAGATATAGATATAGATATAGATATAGATATAGATATGCTGTCTAGAAATACAAGCCATTTTAAAGATTTTGCTTAAAAGATGGGCCTGGGTTGGGAGCAGTGGCTCACACCTGTAATCCCAGCAGTTTGGGAGGCCAAGGTGGCTGGATCCACTGAGGTCAGGAATTCAAGACCAGCCTGACCAACGTAGGGAAACCTCATCTCTACTAAAAATACAAAAAATTAGCTGGGCATGGTGGCAGGTGCCTGTAATCCCAGCTACTCGGGTGGCTGAGGCTGGAGAATCGCTTGAACCTGGGAGGCAGAGGTGACAGTGAGCCAAGATCACGCCACTGTACTCCAGCCTGGGTGATAGAGTGAGACTTTGTCTCAAAAAAAAAAAAAAGACGGGCTTGTTTCATTGTTGTTGTGGAGTCATCCCAGAGGGAGGCTACATCCTCCTCCCTCTTTTCCTCTTATCATTCTAGAGACAGAAAACTCAGCTTCAGGTGGCTAACCCCACCCCCCAAGAAAAGAAGCTACCACTTTGATTGACT